AGAGTTGGATTTAGCATAATTCTTATGGGCCTTAGGATTTTCAGAATGGTAAATGACCTTGGCTTCAAATTAGTCATTAGCTGCCTTTGTCCCTAACAAGAGAGTCAGCCTGTCCTTTGAGGCCAGGCATTGACTTCTCTCTAAATATGACAGTCCCAGATGTATCTTCTTCCAACATAAGGCTGTTTCATCTACACTGAAAATCTGTTGCTAAGTGTAGCCACCTTCGTCAAGGATCTTAGCCAGATCTGGATTACCTGCTACGTCTTCTGTTTGAGCACTTGCTGCTTAACCTTGCACTTCTATGTGATGGAAATGGCCTCTTTTCTTAAATCTCATGAGCCAACCTCTGCTAGCTTCAAATTTTCTTCTGTGGCTTCCTCACCTCTCTCAATCTTCTTAGAATTGAAGAGAGTTAGGACTTGTTCTTGATTAGGCTTTGGCTTAAGGAAATGCTGTGGCTGGTTTGATGTTTCCTTCAAACCACTAAAGCTTTCTCCATATCAGCAATAATTATTTCACTTTCTTACAATTCATGTGTTTACTAGAGTAGTACTTTTAATTTCCTTCAAGAAATTTTTCTTTGCATTCACAACATAGTTAACTGTTCGGCCAAAGAGGCCTAACTTTCAGCCTGTCTCAGCTTTCAACATGCCTTCCTTACTAAACATCATTTCTAGCTTTTGATTTAAGGTGAGAGGTGTGGGACTCTTCACTTGAACCCTTAGGGGACATTGCAAGGTTACTAACTGGCCTAATTTCAATACTGCTGTATCTCAGGGAATAAGGAGGCCCAAGGAGAGGGAGAAAGGAAACAGGTCGGTCAGTATGGCAATCAGACATACACATTTATTGATTAAATTCACTGTCTTAGATGGGTATGTATGGTTCATGGCATCTCAAAACAATGACAATAGTAACATTCAAGATTACTAATCACAGGTCACTACAACAGAATAATAATAAAAAAGTATGTGGAAACACTTCATGATTCAAAAAGCAAACATTTTTAAGTTTAAAAAAATAATAATTAAAAAGTTTGAAATGTTACAAAAATTACCAAAATGTGACACAAAGGCATGAAATGAGCATATGCTTTGGAGAAATGGCCCTGATAAACCTGTTCAACGCTGGATTGCCCCAAACCTGCAATAATTTGGGAAAAAAAAAAAAAAACCACAATAGCCTTGTTGAAGCACAATAAAATGAGGTATGCCTGTACACAGGAAGATGGGCATGGGTTATGCATCAATACTATGCCATTTTATATCAGGGACTTGCACAGGAGGTCTTGGAACCAATCCCCTATGGATACTGTAGTGTCAGCTACTTAGCAGGCTGATGCAGGAAGAACATTTGAGCCCAAGAAGTCCAGCCTGGGAAACATTGCAAGAATCTGTCTCAAAAAACAAAAAACAAAACATATATATGTGTATGTGGGTACATATATGTGTGTGTGTGTGTGTATGCTATATATATACATATATACATACATACATGTGTTTTTTTTAGAAAACAAAACCTCATCTTTCTGATTCTATGAACTTTCATAAATACAGTTTCCATGGTCAATTACCTTTTCCTTTTATTTGTCTATGAGCTGCTTTAAAATAGAATCTTGACTCGCTTTAGTGTAAGAATCGCCCATATATAATGTTCACTTATTATTTATTTATTATAGAGCAAACTGTGGGCTAAATTAAGTCCCTAATATATAACAATGATACTAAGAATTGTTTGCTAAAATATAATTATGTTATATGTTGAGTGACAGTCCTAATACCCTAATCACAAATGTTATTAAAGGTTTCCCATGAAGATCTTATAGCAATGAGAGGATATAGGGTATCAATAAATGCTTCCTAACATAAACTCATACTACTAGAAAGATGTCTTTGAAGTCACGTTATTTTTGTCTCAAGACTGTGGACTGACCATACACACTTATTTCTTCTCCAAGACTCACCCTCCAATCCCATTAAATAATAGTGAATACAGAAAGATAAAATCCCAAACAACAAGAAGATGAAGAGGAAGGGAAGAGAGTAGTAATCAGTAGATGAGAAAGTTTAGCAAATCGTTAGAAAGCAGAAGGCAGATGGAAGTGTAATACTCGACAAGATAGGGCAGAGAAAAGGTTTGGCCTGCAATAATGTGGGGAAGAGGCTACTGATGAGGAGTATCCAGTGTAAGGGGAGGCAAGAATGAGACACAGGGCTAAGAACATGGAGAGTAAGCAAAAGCTCCTCAGGGAATATATCTACCCCCTGAAAATGACATGGTGACCAGGTATGTATCCCCAGATAGTCACTGAAGAAATAGAAAAAACTATGTGAGGAGAGCTACAACAGTTGACTCACATCTGGCCCATCATCCATCCACATATTCCATAATTCTTGCTCACCTACTCAGAACTCCCAATCAGTATATTATTGTCTATCTTAAACATAAATGAATGCCTTTTTATTGAAGAAAACCTATTGAATAAAAGAGGGAAAAAATACGATAAACAAAAATATAATCCCTAGGAAAAATTAAAATAATTCAGGTAACAGAAGAAAACTTAAAAAAAAAAAATCTCTAAATTTTATTCTTTGAAGGATTTTAAAGGACCTATATTCATAAAATAAGAACAAGATGCTGAGAACGAGAAACAGTGCAAGAAAGAGCTCTTAGAAATTAAGATACCCAATTGTGTCTGTGGTAATAAAAAATTATCAGATGGGCTAAAGGAAAGGCAGAAGGGTGGAGAGAATGGAATCTGAGCAAGTTATTTGACAAGGGGTTCCAGCAAGATAAGCAGGTAACCTGTTTACCAAGAAATCATTCTACAAAACATAGAATCTATGATACATAGATTCTACAAAACAAGGTCAAATTCAAAAGAATAACAAAGGCAAATCTCACAGTAATAATTATGCAAGAACAGGCCTACAGAGCAATCATTCAAGTAATTTATAGACAAGGCACAGAAGACAACTACAGATTTAGAACAAACAGTAAGTTACCAAACTTGAAAATGCAAAAGGAAAATAACCAAAGACAAAAGTTGAGAGGTGAAGGAAGAGGAATTAAAGGAATGGCAATATCTTCATCTTAAAAAATGCAGAGCCAAAAGACACAGTTATCTATGGTTGGTTAATAGAAAACTAAAAAGTATACTACACTAAGTGTTCACCATTCTTGCACAGAGATTCTCCTTAAGTAATAACAATACTTACTATGTGCCAGACACTTATTAAGAATTCTGAGGGGCTATTCATTTAACTGTGTAATACAACATCTAAAGTGATCTATTAAAAAAAGTAGGTAAAACTTTTTAAGCTACAGGGTAACCAACACAGGAACCAATAATGGTGATATAATTACATTTTAAGAAGGAAAAGAAGAAAGAGTTAAGGGGTATAAGGAAAATAGGCTGATGCTTCATGTATCGGCACAGGAAGTCAAAAGATAACAATGTCTAAAACTGATAAGGCAAGAAACAGAGGCAAAAGTGTATTATTTAAAGATATGGAGATCATCCCCAGAGAGCTAAACTGAACAATTTTTACAATCTATAAGTGATTCTCTCAGAAAACTGGACTGGCAGAGAAGACTACTGATTTCATGTATCAAAAAATTACAGTACTTTTACATTTTTAACCACATGAATTATTTACTTTGATAATTTCTTTTAAATTTAGTTAATTTTTCAAAAGAGTAGCAATCGAATCTGTCCTACTACTTCAGACAGGTAAAATTATTTTATATTTTAACGGTTTCTAGAAAATGGTCTAATAATGCAAGTCTGACAAGTATACATGTCTTACATTTTTCATTTAATGTTGCATTTGATAAATTAGTATCAAGTAATTCTACAGAATATAGTACTAAGAATACAAAACACTATATAGAGACGTGGCCCCTCCTGGCGTGTAATAGTAGAACACGCTGGTCCACAGGCCAAAAAAGCAGTTTACCCATCTGTCCCATGTTTAATACCCATGTTCTTTATTTTCTTTTCAAGAATAGAATAATAGGCTGTTCCCCACAAGTATAGGTTCAAGAGAGAAAATTCCTGGTAAGATTACCAATAGTAACTAGCCAAAGCCATTGTGATTTCCACCCTAGGCTAGAGCTTCAGTATTGGTTAATAGTGACAGAGAAAGGCTGATACAGACTTGATGGCTGCTGTAGCTGGTGGGGTAAGTCCAAAGACAGATCTTCCATACTATCCATCCAAGATCAAAAACTTGTGGTCCAGGAACTCAAGTCAGCCCACAGACATGTTCAATTTAGCCTGCGTAATATTGGCCCATACTGTGTTTTTAATTTTGAAAAAGTAGCAACAACTAAAATTGACAGAATTCATGTAAAATTTCAGATTTCCACCTTCTCTCAATAAATTAGTAGAGATACTCCCCTTAGGTGACAGGGTGTCCCGATTTGCCACACTTAGCCTGTTTCCCTCACTATGTTACCAGTGTAACTCTTGCAGACCATTTGTATCTCTGATCTTTGCTGTAAAGGGGATAACATGTTGATATGCCCAAGCCATGCCAAGCATTTTTGAGGTAGGACTCTTACACTTTGGAAACAACAGGAGACATCAATGACAAGTCGTGGCACAGCGGTTCCACACAGGGGTTAGCAGCAGTGATGAACAGCAGCCACTCCTACCTAAAAACTGTTTCTAAATGGCCAGGTATTCTAAAGCAATGGACTCTTTATTGAGTATTATGTAAGCCGCCTATAGAGAAAAAAACACAAAAAAATTACTGGGCATGCCTAAAAATTAAGAATTTCTGTACATGCCTATTTAACCACAACTTATTCCCTGCCAACTGCCTTATTTTTAATCAAACTAGAATTGAATGACAGATAAGAAAAGTGGTAAATCCTAGCGATCAATATCTTAGGAGATAACAACTAACAGCAGGAAATGAAAACTAAAGCACAAAGTCCAATAGCTGACACTGTAACCTACATTTCAAGTAAAATAGTCATCGTTTACTTACATTTTAATGTCTCTCCAGCATATGGTATGTGCAATTTAAATCGGTCACAGTTGGGCCCAGGAGTCAATGATGTGCAGCTTTAAAAAATGCAGAAAGAGAAGAAAGAAAATATTTTTAAAAAACAAACTTAAAAAACCCATATACTTATAATACTAAACAAAAAGTGATCTTTATATATAACAGATTAAAACCCTGGCTGATAGAACAAAACAGAAGCCTTTAATTGTCATGGAAGCCAAGACAATAAGACTTACCCTAAAACAAATAATTCATTTATTTCACAATGAATAAAACTTACATGTGTTCTAACCAGTTGAAGCACACGAACAGTGTGTTTCAACTACTTCTCTCAAAGAAGCAGATCTCAACTTTTAAAATTAGGTATATTATCCAAAGCACATGTCTATTCTTATGCCAAGAACTGTAAAATAAGAATAGTTTTATGATCATATTTTAAATATGGACTCTTAGCTTTCACTCTGTTAGTACAAAAAAGAGTCCATTTTTGGCCTTTTTCTGGTACCAGGTCGTTTTCTTTCCTTCCACAAAGGTATGGTGCTTCCTTTAGATTTGGCACAACCTAACTTTCATCTGCAGGAAAGCACAATGCGCACTCAATGTCAGGAAAAATACAAATTTAAAAGGCAGGGGGTAGTCACCCAGGTCTGAACAGTTTGGTGTTTTCTTTTTGTTTTGTTTTGTTTTTCAAGACAAGATCTTGCTCTGTAGCCCAGGCTGGAGTGTAGTGGTGCAATCTCTGCTCACTGCAGCCTCAATCTCCCAGGCTCAAGTGATCCTCCCACTTCAGCTTCCCAAGCAGCTGGGACCACAGGTGCTGCCTACCACACCTGGCTTTTTATTTTTTTTTTTTTCCAGAGAGGAGGTCTCACTATGTTATCCAGGATGGTCTCGAACTCCTGGACTCAAGTGATCCTTCCACCTCGTCTCCCAAAGTGTCAGGATTATAGGTGTGAGCCACTGTACCCATCCTGGTTTTTTTTTTAAGTCTATTATTCCACAAAGTTATATAATGTTTCTTGCTCGTCACAGATTTACTGTACAAGATAATTTGCAATCTTAGAAGTCATAAGTTCAACTGCATAACAGCTACATAGGCTTCATAACTTAATAAAATACTAATATGAAGTCGATTGAGAAAGTAATATGCTTAATTTTGTTATAAAAAGATGAGGTCTTTAATTTATAAACTAAAGCAAGGAGGCTAATTTTGTTTCATAATTCCAAAACTGGCTGTGAAGCAATTCTTAAAAAGAACCTATAAAAGTAGTTTAATTAATGGAAGCATAGTTGAAATAAATGTACAACTTCCCTACATAGTGACTTGGAAGGGCAAAAGTCATTTAAAAATAAATTGAAAAAATTTTGTCTTAAATAAACTAATTCAGACCCCACATTAGACTTACTATTACTTTTTTCCAAAACTATTTGAATATTAAAGAAAAGAACCAGACAGTGGCCAGGTGCGATAACTCACACCAGTAATCCCAGCATTTTGGGAGGCCAAGGTGGGCGAATCACCTGAGGTCAGGAGTTCGAGACCAGCCTTAACAACATGGTGAAACCCCATCTCCACTAAAAATAAAAAATTAGCCAGGTGTAGTAGCATATATCTGTAATCCCAGCTATCAGAAGGCTGAGGCAGGAGAATCGCTTGAACCTGGGAGGTGGAGGCTACAGTGAGCCACGATGGTGCCACTGCACTCCAGCCTAAATAACAGAGATAGACTCCGTCTCAAAAAAAAAAAAAGAAAGAAAACAAAAGCAGACAGAAACTTTAACTCAGATATATTTAACATAAGTCACTAAGTTGATTATTCTTCATTATCTTCAGAGGCCAATAAAAATACTAGTTTATAAACTAAACAACAAAGTTGCACAAGCAATTGAATGGTAACCTATTTTTATTTTTTACACATTTTAAGAATACTTTCTCATTTTCCTTTCAATATAAAAAACATTCTTTGGAGTATATTTTAGAGGTATCATATTCCCATAATCTTTTCTAGCCCACAACATAGCAGTTATTTTAAAAGACTACAGAAAACATAAACTCCAGCATTATAAAGTATAATCTAATGATGGTAATGAGCATCCTGTCATTATGAGCATGCTGTTATGAACCCTATAAGAACACCAAGAGTTTTCCTTCTATTGCATTCAACTGCAATGCTTTAAAATTATGAAAAACACCATTTACAATCAAGTATCTTTTTTGGCCTGAAGGATCAAATTATCTAACTACGTAGCTTAAAGACTGAAGTTATTAGCTGTACAGGAAATCCACATAATTAACCTGATTCCAGTTTGTTTGAATAACTCACTCCTTTTTCAATGAGAAATTGTTTTTTTCCTGAATGGTTACACTCACTGTTAGGGCACACTCTTTATTATATACTTTAGCCAGGACTGGGAAAGTATTTTTGTGCACTGCTATGTTGCCTTCCTCCCTTACTACATCAACAGCTGGTTCCAGCAACCTCAAGGTATTAAAAGGCACATTTCTAGTGGAGATAGGAAAAGATTTCCTAAAGGATACAAAATTATAGCAAGGTAAGAGGAATAAGTTCTAGTGTACTACACCACTGTAGATGACTATAGTTAATAATAAATAGTTTCAAATAGCTAGAAGGAGGATATTAAATCTTTCCATCACAAAGAAATGATAAATGTTTGAGATGAGGATATGCTAATTAACCTGATTGTATCACTATATACTATATGTATCAAAACATCATTACGAACCCCATAAAAATGTACAATTCCTATATGTCAATTAAAAAATTAAAGTTTTATAAAGAAAAAAGTATATTTCTCTATCTCTGTGGTTCATTCACTGATTTTTTTTCATTTAGATAAGATTTATCAAGCATTGCTATAGGTGTTAGGATTATAGGATGGACAAGACAGAGAAGATCTACCGTCTCATGTTACTTAAATTCTAGTAAGGGAAGAAGAAAATGATAAACAAGAGACAAACATGTAAAGATGGTTTAGGATTGCTAAATGCTATGAGGAAAATAAAACACGGTGCTGCAATGAAGCAGGAGCTACTGTACACTGGAATATCAAAGAGGACCTCTGGAGGAGGTGAAATCCGAAAACTGAATAACACAAACGGGACCACCACGCCAAGTTCTGGAAAAGAGCATTCCAGGCAGAAGAAAGAGCTGGTGCAAAGATGGAAAGCAGGAACAAGCTTGGTACATCTGGGGAAGAAATCTTGATATGTCATAGCAAGGCGGCTGGAGGACAGTAAATGAGGAAGAGAAGAGCAAAAGATTAGGACGTAGTCAATGAGGGAGAGAGGGGCAAAAGCAAGGGACAGATCACACAGGGCCTTGCAATCAGTTGCAATTCATTCGGTTTTTATGCCAAGCACAAAGGAGGGCTTTGAGCAGAAGAGTAAAAATATTTATGTTTTTAAAATATCACTTTGTCTATCGTACAGAAAAAAAAAAAAGACCATAAGAGATAAAATGAACACAACCAGACCAGATAGGAGACCATTTTAGTCAAGAAAAATGATGGCGCAAAACCAACATGCATTTATAGATGGTATTACCTACTTCTCTGCTATCTACAGAGATCCTTGCCTGTCCACTTTCTAACTCTGGTGCAGTGATAATGCTGCTGCTTTAGTAAACACTCACTTCATGGTCTTCGGTAAGGAGACGGTCTTCTGTGATGTGGGGGCTGAGCAAAGTGCAGCCCACCTGGCAGACCAGGCCCAGACTCAGGCGCATGAGAGCAAGAATGGTGCTGGAAAGGAACGCACAGGGCCACAGAGGGCAGAGACCATCCCCTTCAGCTTCTCATCTTCAGTCATGGAGAGAGGTGTTTCAGGGTGTGGTTATCCACCTGGAACGGGATGCTGCCCAAAGTCTCTACTATTTCAGGGAAAGATAACACTACATAGCTGGCTATGAGGAATAGGGACTGCAAACCTCTAAGAGTTGTAGGAAGGCCAGGGCAGCTGGGAGCAATGTGGATGAGTCTTGTGTTTAACCCCCAGGGATGCTACTGGTCTCACCAGGTTTCTCAATCCCCGCTGGGACTGAAAACCCAATGCAGGCAGGATAATAATAATAATAACCACTTTGAAACTGAAAAAAGAAAGAAAGAAAGATGATGGATCCTTAGACCAGGGTAGCAGTAGTGGAGATGAGACAAACGGATTTATTAAACAGGGCTGACTGGGAAAGGAGCATGTTTAGGGAAAAGGAAATCAAGAGTTTTGTGAGATGACCTCCAAATCTTCTATGCAAACAGTCAGGTTAATGAGTGGGCTAACCAATCTATCAGGGCCACTAAAATGTCACAGAAAATACAGAAGAAAAATTCACAAAACCTCACCTTAGTGCTTTATGATATTGGAAAGATCACTTACTTGAGTGGGAATGCGAAAGAGGGGTATAGGGAGTAATACTTCCTAAAAGCACGCTCAAGTCAAAATTATAATCTCCAGTTATCTGCAGAGATTCTGCTTTGCTAAGAGGAATATACAAATTTGGGACCAAGAGCCAAAGTGCCCAAGGCAACAGAGGAAAGTTGCCATTAGTAGGTCTCTTTCTCCTGAGTGGCACTCAACTTATCTTCCAATGAAATGTTGGGCAAATTAATTAACATACGTTACATTCTATCTTCCTTATATTACCTAGGATAAATAGGTTTATAGGAAACAAGCCAATAACGTGTTTCTCCTAAGATTAAACTAAAATGTTTCCTCTTCTTAAGATACCTCTGTCTAAAATTGGTTTGGTTATGCTCTTTAATTTACTGTGAAAATTCAATTTGCACAAAAGGAGGGTACCCATTTTTCTGTTAACCAAAAAAGAGCATGGGGACCAGGCACAGTGGCTCACGCCTGTAATTCCAACACTTTGGGAGGCTGAGGCAGGCAGATCACCTGAGGTCAGGAGTTCAAGACCAGTCTGGCCAACATGCTGAAACTCCATCTTTACTAAAAATACAAAAATTAGCTGGGTGTGGTGGCACATGCCTGTAGTCCCGGCTACTCAGGAGGCTGAGGCAGGAGAATTGCTTGAACCCGGGAGAT